CCCTCCCTCCCCTATCTTCCCACGACCGCCACCATCGCTGCAACACGCAACAACGATGGTTCGGTGAATAATAATAATATTTTTATTAATTATAAGTTATTTTTATTAATTATTAATTATTTTAATATTTTTATTAAACATTAATTATTTTTTATTAAATTTACTTGTGTTATTTATTAATTATTAATTATTTTAATACTTTTATAATCATTATTTTTTTTTTAATTTTAATCATTTCATTTATTAATTTTTTATTTTTTATTTGTATTGTTTCAATATTATTTTGAGGTTGAAAATTTTTTTTTATGAGATAATGCAAATTGAATTCAACATTTCCAAATATTATGTTTTAGGGGTAAAATAGTAAAATCAGTAAATTTCAGATGGTAAAGGGTTGATCAAACACAAACAAACTTATGAATTCAAATCCTTTAAAAAGTAGAAAAGTATCTATGCCTCTTTTCAGATTTCAGACACTAATATCTTTTTAACTTTTCAGACCTGAACTTTCAGATTTATCAAACGCCACCTTAAGGTATTAAATTTCATTTTCTCTTATTAAATCCTATATTTTTAAGTTATTTTTCACTAATAAATGCTACTAATTAGATATATGTCAATATTTCTAACAATGTAAATCCATATATTTTAAAATTGACTCAAAAATAAAATCATTCTTTATCCAAGTCGCGGTTAAGTAATTCAACCATCCAAATCAAATTGATCAATCTACAAAGTCATAGTTAGGTAATAAAATTTTGAAAGGGGAGAGAGGGGGGGGGGGACTTTTGAGCTGAAATGAAAAGAAGGGGGAGTGAAGAGAAGAAAGGCGAGATTCAAGCTGAGAGAGAGAGAGAGAGAGAGAGAGAGAGAGAGAGAGAGAATGAGAGAGAGAGAGAAGGGTATCTCTCGAGTTTGGAAAAAGAAGGGAAGACTCCCTCTCGATTTAGAAAAAGGGAAGGAGGAAACTCTTCGAACTAAAAAGAAAAAGTAGAAGAGACAAGAGAGAAGAAGATTGGTAGGGGCTCTCGAACTAGAGAAAGAAGGGAGAGATTGAGAGAGAATAAAGAAGGAAAGGAGAAGAAGGCCTTTTCCATTTTCTTTGTAATTACTGTTCGCATCGCCTATCTCTGCTTCCACCGCTGCCAATACCCTACAACTACCTAGACTATGGTGTTGCTACTAGTGCTGTCGACCTTCTCTTCTATCACCACTAGGGGTGGAGCCCTCCACCCCTGATCACCACTATGGTACAGTTCCCATATCACCAATCTAAGATATCGGATTGATTAAGTTATTCAAACCCTTTCGTTCGAGTTTACTAGTTCTGCAAGTTTGAACAACAACATCATTAATCTACTCGAAGGCTACATAGAGGTCAACATCTTACCTTATTATTTAATGTTGATTGGTAGTTTTTAATTTCAAAAGTTTTTTTCTTATTTTTGGCATCTATTTTTTTATTCATTTTTTGCTTTGTTCCTATGAATTTGGGCACATCTGCGCTCTCCCCTGTTTTGGAGGAGGTGACCATTTCACTCTCTCAATCCCTTTGGAGGGGGAAGATTTCAAAATCACTTTACATCTTCAAACAACCGAGGAATGTAGGTTCTCAATCCGAATTTGCAAATTTTGATTGTTTAAAAATCAAAGAAGGGAATTGATGATGCACATTTTGGCAACTCCCCGACTGGCAGGTGACTCGGATGCCTGGTTGAATAATTTCTACCTGGAATGTGGCTTGGATGCCTAGCTGAATGGTTCCTACTTGGAAGGTGGCTTAGACGCCTAGCTGAATGGTGACGAGATGGAGAGGTGGCTCTGATGCCTAATTAAATGGTGACGAGCTGGAGAAGTGGCTCTGATGCCTAACAGAATGGTGACAAGCTGGAGAGATGGCTCTGATGCCTAACTAAATGGTGACAAGCTGGAGAGGTGGCTCTAACACCTGAGTGGTGACTAGCTAGAGAGGTGGCTCTATTGCGTAGCTGGATGATAACGAGCTAGAGAGGTGGCTCTATTGCCTAGCTGAATGGTGACGAGCTGGAGATTTTAAGATAACCAAATGTGAGAGAGCTGGAGAGTTGTCAAAATGCGCATCATCAGGAATCATCTTTCACATTGACTAGAGAGATGGTGCCTAACCCCTTCCTTCTCTTTTTCTCTCTTTCAACTTACTCGGATTGGCCTTGTCCTAGTCAAATCGTATGGAGTCATCATTAATTCGAAATATTTTACAAAATCTAAATCCAGGAAACCCATCACTCCCTATTGCTTGCTTTGTTGGGTGGCGAATCCATTTACTCGTCCATGAAGTGAACAGGCGAATTTTGACATTCACAATGTTGTATGTGTTCGATCGCTTACATGGAGGCCTGTTACATGGTAGTTAAATTTTGTTTCTGGTATTAGATTTCTCTGACGTGCTTTAGTGTAATGGGTAATTTTATGGGCTCAGCCTCTAGATACCAAGGAAGAAAGAAAGGAAATAAGAGAAGAAGAATAGGGTAGGAACCATTCTCTCTCTGTTTTGGTAGCATCAACAATAGTGAAGAATTAAAAAATATAAAATAATACATATATTACATATGGAATATAATAATATATTATTTATTAATAAAATATGTATTTGTACACACATACACATCCATTTGACCTGGATGATTAAACTGGTGACCCATGATCCGGAGGCAAAAAATGGTTCAACCTATTTTTAAAACATCAATTTTACCCCCACTTTTCAATTACCCTCCTCTCTCTCTCTCTCTCCCATTAATTATTTTTGAATAAATGTTATGTATCCAAAACTAATTAT